TGATGTTGATGTCTTCTAATAGATTGAATAACAATCAGGGGAAGAACAAATGAAGAACAATTCGTTGTGTTCTTGATTGTTAGGGATTGCGTTTTGGATTAGCCCTCCACGTTGAAATCAAATGGGGGCGGCCCACTTGGAGCTTCCCCTCTGTTCATCAATGGCGTGTGCCCAATCGCCATTCCTTCTCTTTGTTTTAAATATCCATCTCTGAGGGCCACTCCGCCCGACACCCCCTCCCTTCAATCTTGCTAGTTGGATTTGGTGGCCAACCATTCACCCTCTTGAAAAGCACTTCCGAAAACCCATGTGGGGTTTTGTTTTGAAGATAAACGGTTGATTTTGATCATCTCTTCTTCTCTATTTTGAGCTTTTTGTTTATGTTTTTGAAGTTAGGCCAACGATTTTGGCGTGTTTCTGAACTGTTTGATTATTGATTTCACTTGTAATCAAAGTTAGGAAATCTTCTTGGGTTTTTCTCGTAGATTTCTTGAATTTCTGGTGACCCTCTGCGACCCACTTCACCTTCCTGTTTTCTTCTTTTCCAACCATTTTTGTTGCTCTTTTTGCTTCTATATACGCTTTGCTTCCAATTCTTTGTTGGTTATGAGATGCCCTTCAAAGGGTTCTTACTGAATTGGCAGTTTTGGGTGCCCGTCAGGTGTTTGATGTTTTGCCTCAATGAATACTTGAAGTTTTGATATGAGAATTTCATGAGTTTGAATTGTTTGCTTTGTTCCAAAGTGGATTCCGTTTCTCTTTCAATCATTAGGAGCAAAACTTGTGTGATTTTGGTCGTCTTTGTGCTAGAACTGGCCCTTCAGTCTTAGTTATCCTTTCATGAGAACTATTCCCTGTTCTTCTTTGTTCATGTTTCCAAAACTTTCCATGTTCGTGTAGTTTGTTGTCTTGTTCTTGATAAGGAGCCTGGTTGATTCTAGTTTGAAAGGGTTGTTTTGCAATGATTCATTCTGGTTTCTTCCTTTCGGGTCCATCGCTTAATTCTGATGCTACTACGTCTTTCATATCGATTCCGGTGTCTGGAGGCGATGGCGCTACGGTGTTGGATGCCATCCCCCCTTCTTTCTGGGTTAGAACAGCCATGAAAGTATCTAGAGCCAGATGGTTCATTTTCTTGAGAAGAGTTTTCCACTATCAAAACGGATCGAGATCTGATCTCGGGCCAAATCCTTTCGATTCGTGTTCGTGGATGGTGATGGAACTTGTAGCCCTGTTATTTCAGCTAATCATCTCAGTGATTACTCTTGCCATTTCACAGACTGAGAGGCCAGTTTGGCCTATGAGATTGTGGATAGGTGGTTATGATCTTGGCTGTGTTCTTAGCTTATTGGTTCTCTATGGCCGCCATCGGTATCATTATCGAATCCAGGGAGATGGGAACAGTCTTTCGGATATCGAACACGAACAGCAGAGGAGTAATGAATCATCAAGGTAATCACCATCAACAGGCTAATGTCCTCTTAATTGATTTTGAGCTGGAACCATAGCCATGAAATGTACTTTATTACCTCTAATCTGACTACTTTTATTGAACATAATTCAGGTACTTGCAGTTGATGAACAAATGTCGCACGTCTCTTGATCTTTTCTTCGCGATATGGTTCGTAATGGGCAATCTTTGGGTCCTCGATTCTCGCTTCGCCTCGTTCGAAAGAGCTCCCAAGCTACATCTACTATGCAGCTTCCTGCTAGTTTGGAATGTCATCTGCTACTCTTTCCCATTCATTCTGTTTCTGCTGCTTTGTTGCTGTGTGCCATTGATTAGTAGCCTTATAGGATATAACATTAACATGGGATCAACCGAAAAAGGAGCGTTGGACGATCAAATCTCCCAGCTACCTTACTGGAGATACCGAGCAGTCCACACCGACATCAACCCCGAAAGTCGACCCGATAACAGCAATACAGGACTTCCAAAAGACGACCCAGTAAGTAATCTTTCTTTTCCTGGTATAGGGAGTACTACAGAAGGAAACTCGAAAAGAACCGTTTCGTTACGAGCGATCGGGAACTAAAATACTTCCGTTTGCCTTCGATTTTTCAGGAATGTTGCATTTGCCTTGCAAAGTACATAGACAAGGAAGAAGTGAGACAGTTGCCTTGTTCCCATGTGTTTCATCTCAAGTGTGTAGATAAGTGGCTTGCTATTGCATCTTCATGCCCTCTCTGTAAGCAACAACTTCAGAGATAAGATAGCCAAGAAAGCAGCCGTTGATGAAATTCGGGGGAAAAACGGAACCGGTCACTAGTCACTACACTGGGGGCGAGACATGACCACGACGGAAGATTCGAGTACCGTTGAAAAGACCAAAAGAATGGAGGGAATGACTGCCTGTAAAAATGGACAGGCTAATACGAGCCGACTAGAAGAAGCAAGTCTTAGATTACCGAATCTTGGACACAGTCTTCTTAGAGAGAGCCCCGTTTAGATTAGAGTCTCACATGGTTAGGTTACTTGAGTGAGTTCTAGTGCTCACCAGTTACCTAAATATACTGAAATACTGAATGGATACATATAGCAAGAAATTGATGCCTTATCTGTAGATATTATGAGAACTATAGTATTTGTCTAATGAATACAAACCAAGTGTGCTTTTTCCCACTTCATGCCTCAGAACTTGTTTGTTACACGTATGAACCGTCTCCTCGTCCCCGACTCCGTCCCCATCCCTGACATGTTTAGCTGTGTAAAGTTTGTTTGGAAAGAACCTGTTGGAAAACGAAGAAAACTCAAAGAAACGAGTATTGTGAGATCCCACGTCGGTTGGAGAGGAGAATGAAGGATTCCTTATAAGGGTGTAGAAACCTCTCCCTAATAGACGTTTTAAAACTGTGAGGTTGACTGCGATATGTAACGGGCCAAAGCGGACAATATCCACTAGCGGTGGGCTTGAGTTGTTACAAATGGTATCAGAGTCAAACACCGAGTAGTGTGCTAGTGAGGACGCTGACCCCTATAGTGAGTGACCCACATCAGTTGGAGAGGAGAACGAAGCATTCCGGTGTACTAGTGAGGATGTTGACCCCTGTGGGGGGTGACCCATATCAGTTGGAGAGGAGAACGAAGCATTCCAGTGTGCTAGTGAGGATGCTGACCCCTATGGGGGGTGACTCATATCAGTTGGAGAGGAGAACGAAGCATTCCGGTGTGCTAGTGAGGATGCTGACCCTTATAGGGTGACCCACATCAGTTGGAGACGAGAATGAAACATTCCTTATAAGGGTATGGAAACCTCTCCCTAGCAGACGTGTTCTAAAACCGTGAGGTTGATAGCAATACATAACAGACAATTTTTGCTAGCGGTAGACTTGAGTTGTTACAAGTATGAAGGTTCCCTTACTCCCGCTCTCCTTTGATTAAAGATTCTAGTTTCCCACTCGTACTCGGTTTCATAAAGACCTTTCTAAGGGTGATTTCGTGGCACCAAAACTCATTCTCGACTACGAGAAGTTCTTTCCCTTAGTCTCAAACTTAGTACCTGAATACCAAAATTTAACGACTTCAACACTACTTTATTGATATTAAGTTCAGTAATTAAACAATTATACAAAGAATATTATCGAACGTGTTCATATGAATCATATTTATTTTCTCGAGATAACTTCGAGCATTCAACTAATTAAAACATCAAATGAACGTTGTTATACGAAAACGATATCTTACCTTGTGAGTAGCCACCCTCTCCTTCTCTCCTACCTTCAAAACATAGATTTATCAACTAAGTTAAATAGGCAAGCAGTCAATATCAAGAACACATTTTTTTATTATTATTATTAAATTTTAATTTAAAAAATGGATTTTCGTAGAAGAAAATGATTTCCGACCATTCAAATAATTGTATTTAAATTCGTAATAATTACAATATTTAATCTACCGACTTATAATTATGAGTTGTTGAAAACATTTTTTTAATTAAAAAAAGTCTGAAATTAGGTATAATTTCATAAATTAAAAGCTAAGTTAGATCAATTAGCATACTTTATAAACAAATAATATATATATATATATATATATATATATATATATATATATATATATATATATATATATATTTATATAAACAAACCTAGAGTGGATTGTGACACCATGTTAGATAAACTCGTCTCTCCACAACAGTAAACCTATGATCATTCCTTAAACTAGCCGACGTGGGACTTTCATCCAACACCTCCCCTCGAACAAAGTACGTCTCTCCTAAATCGAGGCTCGACTCCTTTTTCTTTGGTATGACATTGTCCACTTTGAGCATAAGCTCTCTCATGGTAAACCCATGATCATTTTCCTAAATTAGCCGACCCCTTAATTGAGGCTCGACTCCTTTTTCTTTTAAAGTCTTTTGTTCGACATTTGGGGATGGCTAAGTATAGGGCATGACTCTGATACCATGTTAGATAAACACAACTCTCCACAATGGTATACTATTATCCACTCTTGACAATAAGCTCTCATGGCTTTGCTGTGGGCTTTCCCAAAAGGTCTCATACCAATAGAGATAGTATCATTTGATTATAAACCCACGATCATTCCCTAACTTAGTCAATGTGGGACTTTCATTCAACACACCACGTGTTTCTAATACGAATTCGTGCTTGTCTACTAGTATGACTTGAGGAGAAGATAGGGCAGCTCAACTCCCCGAAGGATGAACCACTAGGAAGTATATTTAAGTCAAAATTCTCTTCAAGGTCTCACACAACTTATTTGACTAACCGGGTGACCTACCCTTCTTTTTTCTTGGCTATAACCCCAAAGAATTGGGATATATATCTATACACACAAACGTGTGTATATATATATATATATATATATATATATATATATATATATATATATATATATATATATATATTTTTTTTTTTTTAATTTAGCGTTGAAAAAAATATATTTTAAATTAAAGAATAGTAATAAATTTTGAATAAAGAAAAGCGGTTGAGAAAGATGGAGGAATTGGGGTTTTGACAGTTGAACGAAACGGTCGATTGTTGGGGGTTTGCTTGCTTTGTTAACAAAAAGCTGCAACAAAGTTTGGCCAATCCAATCCAATCCAATCCAATCCAATCCAATCCTATCCTATCCTTGACGCCACCATTCTCAAACCTCCGATTCATTCCCTTTCAATCGAAGTTACCCACTTCCCCTTCGTTTTCTCTTCTTGATCCTCAGTCCCCATCTCATTTCACCTTCCTCTCCTTTTTTCAACCATTTCCGACAGCTCCCCTTCGCCTATTTCCTTCTATTTACACTTCCATGTCCCCTTTTCCCTCTTTCTTTCCTCTTTTCCCCAATGCCTTTGACCCTTATCCAATTTACCCATTAAAACCCAACTGGGTCTTCCTCGTCGGTGGGTCTCTGTGTTTTTTTTTTTTTTTTTTTTTTTTTT